CCATCAGCCCCTGGGTTTGACATTTCCCTGCTGTTTTCCCCAGCCCACCCCCTTCAGCTGGCTCTCTTTGGCATCTATAGATTGCTCTGCTTCCTGTTTCTTAAACCCCCTGCAAGAGGGAGAGGGTGTGCCCTTAGGACTGTGACCTTCCCACCCCTCTACTCATCCTGACCTCTTATTGGATCAGCTCACTGCCTCGCTGGTGCCCCTAAACCCAAACCTTGGCCCACTTGGAACCTTGGCCATTCACGTCCACTGAAAGTGATAACTACTCCAAGTGTCTTGGGTACTTACTGCAAGCTCCACAAAACCAGTGCAGAACTCATTTGCCTCCCAAACTGCAGCTCCATCCTGTGGTCTCGTTGGTCAAAGGACAGCACCTTCCATCCAAGCCAGAAATCTGGAAGGTGACCTTCATTTGAGCCTTTCTTCCCCACCTCACCTCCTCAAATGGCTACACTTTCAGGTGGACCTCCCAGCCATGGTCAGAATCTCTCTCCATTCCATCCTGCCACTGCTGAAGTGCATGAGCTGTCTACCATCTCTCCAGCATCCTTGCTCAGGCCTACTAACCATGCTCCTGCCTCCACAACCTCCTAACCATGCTCCTGCCTCCACAACCTCCTAACCATGCGCCTGCCTCCACAACCTCCTAACCATGCTCCTGCCTCCACAACCTCCTAACTATGCGCCTGCCTCCAAATTTCTTCCCTCCAACAACAATTCATTCCCTTCCTACTGCTTCCAGCTGTCCTAAAATTCAAATTCAGTCTCGACAATCCCCAGCATGAGAATCTTCCCAGAGCTCTGAAGACCATGATGCTGACTATGGAGATGAGGCCTTCGGCCATTTGCCTTGCACCAACCCTTTCAACCCAAACTTTCCTGTGTAGCTTCTACTGTTTCCACTACCTAGCAGGATTGCTCAGCCATAGCGTCTAGCCAGCCTCTCCTGATCGCCCTTACTCTGCCCCGTCTCCACCTCAACGAATCAGCCAGCTCCTCCTATACAATGAGGCTCAACAACCATCCAGTTTGGAAATCTTGGAGCTCCCAGGTTCTCTAAACCCTTAGTTCATAGACAATGTTCCGTGATAACACTCACCATATGTCACAGTCTGAACTGCTGAGCTGCACCTGAGACAAGTGCTCACTGCAGAAGACAGCCCATGTCTTCCAGCTCCAGTAAAAAGCCTTCTGTTCAATGATCCCATGAATGAATGATGGCACAAAAGTCCATGCATAGCAGGGTGGCTGTAAGTAACAATAATGTACTGTGTATTTTAACTAAAATGAGCCAGCCATGCTGACATGTGTCTTTAATTCCAGCACTCAGGATGCAGAGGGTGGCAAATCTTCGTGAGTTTGAGGTCAGATTTGGTCTACAATAGTAAGTTCCAGGCTAACCAGGGCTACATGTGAGACTCAGTCTCAATAAATTAAATAAATGAATAAACAAACAAATAAATGTGAGCTAAATAGTTTTTCAATATTTTTAACTGTAAAGAAATTATACCTAAAGAGAATATTATAATCTTGTATTGGCTAATTTTATGTCCACTAGACACATGCTAGTCATTTTGGAAGAAGAAATCTCGATTGAGAAAATGACTCCAACAGATTGGCTTGTGAATGAGCCTGTGGTTCATTTTACTGATTGATGATTGATCTGGGAGGGCCCAGTTCACTTTGGTCGATGCCACCCCCTCCCCACACCAGGCTGATGGACCTGCAGGCAGCTGCAGGCTGAGCAAGTCATGAGGAGCAAGGCAGTAAGGAGCGCTCTCCCATGGCCTCTGCATGAGTTCCTGCCCTGACTTCTCTGGATGGGTGGACTACCGGCTGTAAGATGAAACAAACGCTTTCCTCCATGAGTTGCTTTGGGTCATGGTGTTTATCACAACCATGGGGACCCTTAGACAGTTCTGATTTGAACATACAAGTATCAAAACATCATATGATGCCCTATAAATAGGGACACTTTTCATTGTCAGAAAATGTGGGTCAGGTCTGGTGGCTCTGGCCTGCATCCCCAGCACGTGGGAAGGTAGATAAGAAAATTGCTGCAAGTTCCAGGCCAGCCAGGGTTAAACAGCAAAGCCCTGCTTCTCAAATTCAATTCAGAATTAAACTTCAAAAATGGAGGTACAACCAGGAACAGAGCAACCTTATTTTTCAGGAAATGGAAGTACCAAAAGTCACCTGGAGACATGCATCAAACCCACTTCTAAAGACAAACCCCTGCCACACGGCCCTACCAAATGAAATGTCCTGCGGCTTCACTGAATCTCATTAACCAACTTGTTGGCTGTCAAAACTGGTGAGAAGGGTAGATCCCAGGATCAGAGAGAGAGGGTTGTGCAGGTCCCAAGATATGGTACTGATGAAGAGCAAACATAGGTGTGTGGACACGACTGCCTGGCCACACGCTCAACCACTGCTCTGGAGAAGTTAGGCTGTCTGCTCGATGTGAGAACTCTGGTATGGCTTATAAACCCCTCTTTCCTCCTCAACCTCACAGCAGCAAATCACTATTCAGAGCCTATGTCAGAGATCCCCCATGGAACATCATGAACACTAAAAGATGCTAAGGTGTTTGCGGCCACAGGTAACACATTCTAGAATCAATAGCTTGCAAGTAAGTTGGAGAGGTTCTTAGCTTCCACTGCATATCAGGACCAAGAAATGCATGCATTATTTTCCTTTACCCCCATACCATGCATTATTTCACTTTACCTCCAAATACACGCATTATTTTCCTTTACCCCCAAATACATGCATTATTTTACTTTACCCCCATATACAAGCATTATTTCACTTTACCCCCAAATACATGCATGATTTCACTTTACCCCCATATAAGGTATAACTCACACTTGACAGTGATTGTGTTCTTTGTGTGTTTTAAAACTTTTTTCACATATTGTAAAGAATAAATAAACAAATAAAATTGGAAAACACAGGCCAGAAAGTAATCCCCAGAGACATTGGTGTAGTGGTCCTTCACACTTATATGTTTGTATTTCTAGAAATGGCAGAATCCAAATACCATCTATATTACTCCCCATGAGTATGATCCTTACAAAATTACTTAGTCACAGCTTAAAATTCTACCTTAAGCATGCTGTTGTATAAGTTTCTTTTGAAATGTTCCCTCCAGGAGAGGAACTTCTGAGATGAAGGAAACGGTCCTTCTCTCTGGGGAAGCTGGAGTTTACTACATTACCAGAAGACTCCTCCCCGGGTTACAGAAGCCTTAAACAGCTGCTTGGGGAGGAGACCTACCGGCCAAGTGCAGACCTCGGAGGGCTGTGGAGCCACAGTGCAGAGCTCCAAGGTGCAGACCTCTCAGGGCGGTGGAGCTACCCGCAAGCTGTGCAGAGCTCCAAGAAAGCAACTGTATGAGTCCTTGGCTGTGTAGGGTGGGCTTTGGGGTAATGCAACCCACTCTAAGTTCTTTTCATACAATATATTCAGATCATGCGTTTTCCCTCCCTCAACTCCTCCCATATCCTCCCTACCACCCCACCCAACCAACTCCATGCCCCTTTTCTCTTTTTAAAACTTAGGTCCCAATCAGGGACCCCAAAATGGCAGTGACAATGTCCCAGAAGGACTCTGACTGGGTAAACAGAAACCTAATCCAGCATCCCCCAGGAACCTCGTAAGACATGCCTCTGTTTACCAGGAACCTCCATTAATCTGCCCAAAGTCAATTATCCTGGGCAAGGGCACCTGGCTCCCAGTCCAGCCTGTATCTGCTCAAAAACCCTCACGCTGTTGTCATAAAATCAGCTTGCTTTTCCACAATTTTGCTTCTTCCTGTCCCGCTCCCCAGGGATAGCCTGGGCAGTCTGATGTCCAATGAACCTTTCTTGCTACCTATGGAGCAATCTAGTTTGGTAGTTTCACTGCGCCCTCACACAAACCAAAACAAGAAGGAACACTGGGGGTGGGATGGGGGAACCAGAAACCGACATACACAAGCAAAAGACCGATAAGCCTAAGAATGTTTAAACAAAACAAAATCAGACAGAAAGGCTACAAAAACAATACTGGGTTCATTTTGTGTTGACCAGCCACAAAGTGCTGTTAATATACCCAGTGAGACTCCGGTAGAGAAAACCAATTTTCCCTTTGCCAGCAGGTACCAAGTACAGATGGCTTCTTGGTTAGGGGTGAGAGCCTGTGTCCACTTTCCCTCATCTGGCTTGACTCTGGGCAGGCCCTGTATGTGTTACCACAGTCTGAGTTCATACATGTGATGAAACCACTTTTGAGGGATTCCTGCTCCTGGAATACCACTAAAAACCCATTGGTTCTTGGAGTGTGGTGGCACACACCTTTAATCCCAGCAGAAATCTATGAATTAGAGCCCAATACAGTCTACATAGCAAGTTCCAAGCTAGTCAAGGCTACATAGCAAAACCTTGTCTCCAAAGAAAAAGAAACGCAGCTCATTGGTTCACCAAGTTGGACTTCGGTGCAATTGATGCTTTGGCCTGCAGAGGGCTCCCCTTCTGGGGTGAGCAGTCAGTCATATGTGTTGCACCACCACGAAAACTCACTTGTGTTTAGTTTTGGCAAACGGGTACAATGTTAAGAGGCTACACGACACACTGAAGCACTCATAGCCAGCTTGTGGGTAGGTTTGAGCAGATCTTGGTTGTCTTCTCAACTCAGTGTCCCCGCTGGTATGATAATGCGATGAACTCTATCCATGAGCAATCTCTAACCTCCACAGAATGCACTCCCCAAAGCTTGTGACCTGGGGCTACTCCTCTGTGGTAGACGCACTAGCCTAACACAGGCCAGACCCTGCCTGGGTTCACCCCCCAGCGCTGCAAAACCACAAACACAACTCAAACTTACATATGTGAATGATTCCCTGTCAGGCCATTATACAACCTAGACGGGAGATACTGTCTTAGAATACATACAATTGTGCAATGGTTTACTTAGGGTACATATTAAATATAAGATTTCTAAACCATAAGACATGCAGCCCACCAACCCTTTGGGGGTCTTTTTATTTGAATTGCCATTTTATCCTCCAAACAGGTTACTCCAATTACTTTTTATTTTACACATCAGTTAAAAAAAAGTCAAGTTTTGTACATACATTGTGCTAGGCACTGTGGATACATTCACTAACAAACCAATGTCCCTGCTCTCATGGAGTTGACAGTCTAAGGAAGAGAAAACACACGACCCTAAACCCACACTGCCACAAATTCCTCACAAACTGAGGCAAGCTAAAAAGGCCAAGTCCAAGGTTTTCAAAGTCCATAGGCATCCTGGATTGTTATCAGGCCTGAGCAGTCTGGAGGAGTTTCTGTATGGAAGAATGGTTCTGGGCTGGGAACTAAGGCTTTTGTTTAAACCAGGTGAAACCAGGTTAGAGTGTGCACTAGAGGACACTCTAAGAGAAGCAAATAGCAATGGACAAAGACTGTGAGAGGGCCAGGCTCCCTACAAGGCCAGGACACAGGAGCCAGCCAGCACACACAGCAACGACAACTTCATACTTGACGTGTGCTACAACAGCCACATGTGGTCAAAGCCCCAAAACTAACAAGTGAAGAATGGCATAATAAATGATAACTCAAAAAGAGAAGGAATGCATTTTCAAACTGTTTCTGTGCTCTTTAAAAGATCCATTATTATTATATTTGTGTGCGTGTGCGTGCGTGTGCGTGTGTGTGCATGTGCGTGTGCTCTCACATGCCCAAGAGCCTGAGGAAGGCAGAAGAAGGTGCTGGATCCCTTGGAGCTGGAGTTCCAGATGACTGGGAGCTGCCCCGTGTGGATGCTGGGAACTGAACTGGGGTCCTCTTAGGAGTAAATGTCCTTAAGCCCTATCATCTCTCCAGCCCCTGGATGGCAAAGCTTTACGCATACAATGCTTTGCACCACATGTACCCTACACCTGTAATCATTCAATGAGACTGCATCCTACACCTGTAATCATTCAATGAGACTGCATCCTACACCTGTAATCATTCAATGAGACTGTACCCTACACCTGTAATCATTCAATGAGACTGCATCCTACATCTGTAATCATTCAATGAGACTGCATCCTACACCTGTAATCATTCAATGAGACTGCATCCTACACCTGTAATCAGTCAATGAGACTGCATCCTACACCTGTAATCATTCAATGAGACTGTACCCTACACCTGTAATCATTCAATGAGACTGCATCCTACACCTATAATCATTCAATGAGACTGTACCCTACACCTGTAATCAGTCAATGAGACTGTACCTTACACCTGTAATCAGTCAATGAGACTGTACCCTACACCTGTAATCAGTCAATGAGACTGTACCCTACACCTGTAATCAGTCAATGAGACTGTACCTAGGACACTTCTTTATTGCAGCTTTGATTTCTGGAGATTATCTTCCACAGGAAAACTGAAATCAGTGTTGAAATGTTTTAAAAATAAAGTGAAAACACAAAATATAACTTTTGCACTGGTTTTATGTACCCATGTACATAGGTAGCCATCATAAATTGAAGGACGCTTTTATATTGTCTTTAAGGGAAAAAACTCTTCAGAGTGTTTGTACTACAAATTATGTCCCTGATAGGAAAAACAACAACAACAAACAAAACACTTCACAGGTTTGCTGCTCAGCAGCCATCATTAATGGCACTCATGATCTCCTAGTGGAGAACAGGAAGCAATTGTATACCATTCTCTATGAACTAAAATGTCATCACTTACTCTGTATGTAACATCTTCTGTACCACCCCCTCATATTTTGTGGGGTTTTTTTCCTTTTCCTTTTCCCTGTTATAATATATAGAAAACGTTCATCCTGAGGATACATGTACTAAAAACTACCCCAACAGAATATTGCAGACCATTACGGTTGGTCCTTAAAGCTCGCTGAATGTTCCAGACCAATTTTCTAAACTGTTCATTGTTGATTAGAATTCATTAGTATCACGTTACAAAAACCACAGGCTAAAACAGTCTTTATGAACACACTTTTAGTAGGTATATTTAAAATATAAATATGTTTTCCACTCTATTATTTTTCTAAATAACTTTTTTTAAAAGAAAAAAAAAAGAAAATCTTCATAAAGGTTTCCAATCAGTGGTGCACGTTGCCCATTCTCCAATCATTTCAGAGTCTTATCTGCAAAACAAAATAATTGCTAAATTACCAAAAAGCAGCTGGGGGGAAAAAAAAAGCTCCACACAACTTTCAAAATGAAAATTGTAACTTTGTAAGATACACAGTGTAAAACGCTATCATTTTTATTGGGATGGGGGTGCACGTGAGTGCAGGTGCCCGCAGAAGAGGCCCCTGGGTGCCCTGGAGCTGGTGAGATACCCGACATGGGCACTGGGAACTGACTTCTGGGCATCAGGAAGGACAGCATACACTTAATCACTGAGCCAGCTCTGAAACCCTTCATTTCCAATTTTTAACATGAAAAACAAGAGCACCATCTTGCTTTAAAAAACACAGGCTATTATGCCAGACTTCAACCTATTCAAGTCACAAAACTTAACGTCAGATGATGTGTATGTTTACAAATACATCTTTAAATCGTAAGTTTAGTGGCTAGAATCTTTAGAAATAACAGGAAACAGAATTATCATCATGTTTTAGCATGTACTTATAAAACAATAACATAACCCCATACTACAGTCTTTCATCTGTTATGAAGGAATCTGAAAAAAGCCAATAGCATACTGATTTTAGGATGCCAACTGGACATAGCCTAGAGTCCCCAGGGACAGAATGTAACACACGTGCTGTTTAAATAAACTGAAGACCTGCCTAGGTCAGTCTGGCATATCTGTGGGCACATCTGTGGGGCACTGACCTGATTGCTAATTGATGCATCCCAGTGCATGTGGGACAGCATCATCCCTACACAGGCAGCCATGGGCTGTACATGAAAGGCAGGTAAGCGTGAGCCAGTGAGAGGGCGTCAGCAGGCAGCCTTCAGCTTCAGGCTCCTGCCCCCACCTCTCTCAATGATGGGTGAGATTATGACCCGGACTAAACAGTTTCCTCCCCAAGCTGCTTTTGGCCAGGGCATTTTATCCCAGCAAAAGAATGACAGCAGGACACAGGGCAAGATGAAAAGTTACCTTAATTACTTTTTTAAAAGGCAGACTGGAAGAACGGAAGGGCACAGCCCAGCACAGGGCGGAGGGCAAGGCCTTGCTCCACTAAACTCAAATCCCACAGTCTGACTGCCCAGAAGGCAAGCCCACTTCTTTTCCATGTCTGCCTTTAAGACTTGATATTCATCTTAAATATTCTGAAGTAAGTACGGATCTTGTAGTACTATTTCCAGACCTGCAAGCTCTTAAAAATCAAGAAAAAAACTAATACCTTTAAAGTCCAAATCTAACTTGAATTAAAATGCTCATTAAAATACAATTTTCTCCCTCTGGGTACTCACTCGGTATGAGAAAGTTTTAATTCTTCCCTTTGTTTTGCGGAACAGTTTAGATTCCCACCTAAAATGTAAATGAGTAGCCATTTTAAGCAATGTAATTAAAATTCAATCACACACAAATATTTGCACAAAAAGTTATGAAAGATAAAAAAGAAAAATATATAATCACACTTTAATTTTAGCTTTGTATATTTAAGTTTGAAGTTATATGTTGCTTCAGGTTTTTTAACTGAAACACTATTAAATGTCAGTATCACTGAAAGTTAAGAAAAATTAAAAGAAATCTAAATTTATTGTGTTATATTCTCTTAAGTATATCATGCCCTTTAGGCACAAGCAATTATCAAGATTAATAAAGACAACATCAAGTTCTTATAAAAATACACTAACGCATATTAGTGTGTACTGGTAAAATATATATATATATATATATATATATATATATATATATTATTTCTAATCCTAAACCAAATATGTTCAACCTTAAAATGAAAATTAATTTACTTTTTATTTTTTAGAAATGAGATGATATGAGGGGCTTAGGGAGTTTTGCTAATATACACCTGAGATTTTATATTATGAAACACGATCTTACTGGTGATGAAAAAGCCTAAGAGCAATTTTGAAGGAAGTGGAGGTTTCAGAAAGTGTGATTATAAAAACACTAATCACTAACACACACTAATAAAACACTGGCCTCAAGAAGATCAAGAGAGCTGCTTACCTCGGGCACGGTTCACCAAATACAGACAGACCACGGCAAAAAGTGCCACTGGAAAACACAAGGTACACTTGTAAACGACGCCTGTGTAATCAAAACTAAAGCATAAACCAAACTCCTCTCCATTGGTGCGGTGGTTTGAACAGCTATGGCCTCCACAGACTCTTGTGTTTGAATGCTTGGCCTACAGAGAGTGGCACTATTAGGTGTGGCCTTGTTGGTAGAAGTGAGGTCTCAGATATGCACAAGCTGTGTCCAGTGTGTTACACAGTTCACTTCCTGTTGCCTGGAGTTCAAGATGTAGAACTCTCAGCTCCTCTCCAGCACCACATCTGCCTGCATGTGGCCATGCTTCCCACCATGATGATAATGGACTAAACCTCTGAAACTGTAAGCCAGCCCCAATTATAAGCCAGCCCCACTAAAATGCTTCCTTATTAGAGTTGCCATCATCATGATGTCTCCTCACAGCAATAGAAACCCTAACCAAGGTAATTGGCATTTTAAAAACACTGCACTTTTTTGTTTCTGAAAGCTCTCAAGTGCCACAGTGTTTTCCCTACAGGGATCACTGCTTATTACCTCAGGAATGATAGGGCCAGCAAACTGCTGACACCCCACAGAAGGGAGGGAGCACACATCACACACACACACACACACACACACACACACACACACACACACACACACACACACAGAATGACTGAGAAACCACAGGAGGGAGGGAGCAGATATATCACACACACACACACACACACACACACACACACACACACACGCACACGCACACACACACACACAGAGCGAACGGCTGAGAACCCACAGGAGGGAGGGAGCAGACACATCACACACACACACACACAGACACACACACACACACACACACACCCTCCCTCCCCCCTTCCTCTCTTCTTCTCCCCAGAACTCCTGGCAGCTCCTGGCCAGTCATTTCACGGTCTGCAGGGATTTCTCATCTGAAGACACCATGTGCCTTTACAAATGAACAAATCAAAACTTCGCCCTTAACTTTCCACCCAGAGCCAGTTCAGAGCCCAGAAGGCAGAACTTGGCTTTCTGCCCTTACTAGCTCAGGCACACTGTCTAGCTCACTTTAAATGATATGGCAAAACCTAACTGTAAAAATATGAGCATTTTACTCTACGTTGTAAGAAGTCAAATGCTGCCACATGGCACACTCACAGGAAACACAGGCAATGAAGAAAACCTCCAAAAGCAAGTATCCCCGAGTATCCAGTATCATGCCAGCAAGGATGGAGATGACGGCCAGCCCGAGGTTCTGAATGGACTGCATGCTAGGATTTCAGGATAAAATAGCATTTCATTCTCAAAGGTCTTCAGACAGACTAACCACTATTAATGCTAGCATCAAAAACCACACACTGCTGGTGTCAGGAGAGACTTTCAGACAGGGAGCACATGGACAGATGTTAGTTTTTTGAGACAAGGAAGCTATGTAGCCCTGGCTGCCCTGGAACTCACTTTGTAGACCAAGCATGCCCCAAACTCATAAAGATCTACCTGGCTCTGACTCCAAAGTGCTAGGATTAATCACACCCAGCAGATTTTGGAGTTTATCCTGGACTGTCTCCGCTACTAGACCATCGGCTGCAGGACAAGTGAAGTAAAAAAAATGCCCACCTGATGAATGAAAGGGAGAGCTACCCACACAGCAGCCACAGGACCAGCTGCAACCCCCCACCCCCCACCCCCGCCTTTAGGGGCCTGGGACATGGATCACCCTCCCCCGAGAAGGGCTCAGATGGACAGGAGTGGTCATGTCTGCGATCGCCTCCTACGGGCTTTGGCTTACTCCAGTTGTCTTGCTAGGGCCTTACCTTGTTGGATGGCCAAGTGTCACTACATCTGACTGGACTAAGAAGTACCTAACAGAAAAGTACTCTTCTAGGCATGTCTGTTGGTCATGACTAGAGGAATGACCTCAGTGGGAAAGACGTAGACATGGGCAAGCACCTCCCAAAGGCTAGAGGCCTGAGGCAAATAAAAGGGCAGTGTGATGGCCGCTTCCCAGCTGCCGTGATGGATCTGCCTCTCCACAGGCCCAGAATCAGTGGGGCCAAGAAATCTCTAAAGCCAGGACCTAAACTAAACCCTCCCGCACTGGGTTGTTTTCCTCAGATCACAAGTAGGGAAAGTGACCAGAAATACCACGGCAGTCGCTTAAGAATGCATTCACTGACATTTCTCGTCACCTGCGGGTTCAGTGCTGGCCCAGAACTCTGAGCATAACTACAATTAGGACACGTGGGGTACTATGAGAACTGATACAGCAGAAGGCAACATGTACGACATGCAGTGAAAGTGCAATACTTACAATCCGTATGCAGTCCCCAGCTGGTGCTCGGGAACTACAAATGCCACCATTGGCCACAAGGCACAGGCAAGCAATGAGTAGGAGAGTCCCAGGAGACTCTAGAATAGGAAGGCAGAATGGTACAGTATACATCAGGTGACAGGTGATTTTCCTTGATAAAGATTAGTAAAAGTGACATAATAGCTAAATCAAAATGTAAATACATTTTACTGTAATTGGACTAAAATTTCAAATATGTAAGAAAGTCTTGGGCCTCTCTCAGTACTCTCCGCTGTTTTAACTATTTTCACTCGTGATATAAACTGTCTGGGTCCACTGTGCAGTCAACGGCACAGAGGATTTGGAAAAGTTCTTACCCAAGTTTCAGGCAAACTGATTTTCCTTAACTACAGATGAAGTCGTCGAGGCAGCAGAGTTATTCTATTGCTGCCCATGGAGAACCAATTCTGAACTGAAAAGCACAGCAGGGACCCACCCGCCATCACCACCACTCCTCAGACACTGTGACAATGCCGTTTCCGCAATCCAAAAAAGAACTTGCCAAACACGGGGGCGACATGCCTTCAGAGGCAACTCTGAGTGCCAGGCTGCTCTAAGCTACACAGGGTGGAGGTGACGGTAGCTGTATGGAGCAAGAGCATGTCTCAAGTTTTAAAAAAAGAAGAAAGAAAGTGTGAGTTGAATGTAAATGAAGTTATTACATGTACCTATCAGACTGGTACATGTAGAAATAATGCTGACACCCAACACTAGCCAGGAAAACGGACACATCTGTGCACTGTGTTATAGATGAAGAAGTCCCTGAGCATCGTAACAGAGGATATTCACTGTGCAAAGCTCTACAGCAGCACTCTACTCCTAGGGCCTAGATGTCCCTACAGGAAGACTTCCGAGGAACTGCCCACCACAAATTCTGATGCTCAAGATGCCCCTGTACCAACAGGTAAGGGACACAGCACTTCAGCCTGTACTCTGAAAACTCACACGGTGAAGACAACAAAAACATCATGGACTTGCGGCCACCTTTTAGACCTACTAAAAGTCTGGACAGTGCTTTTAACGAAAGGATTTATTTTAATGAAGTTCAGAAAAATAAATGCAAGAAATTAGCTTTCCAGTCATGAGACTATTCTGTTTCAAATTCTACTTCAGCTTTGGAGGTTCCCTACTAAATAAGCCAAATGAAAAACAAACCTTACACATTAATAATTGATAATCCTTTTCTAAAAAAAAAAAAATGTTTACTTTCTCAAAATTAACACCAAGTCACTTCCCCTCAGCACTGCCAGCTGGGTTTGCTGGGCACACCCAACATGGACTTGGGATTCTCTCTGAAGCCCTGACCACCCCCTAAACATTACCATAGCAATCCAGGGGTTCCAAAAGGTGAAGGCCAGCATCATGTGGGACACGAGGGTGGTAGCAACTGCACACAGAACCCAGATGACGTTCTTCCCAGTTTTATCCACCAGGAGTCCAAATACTGGGGACATGGGAGCTGATATGATATACACGATACTGCCCAGAGAGGGCAAGAAGTTAATAGAATGTAGCACAGCGTCTCTAAAACTACCAGACTAAGCAAGCCTAATTTGGTTAATGTAGCACTCATCTAAAATGACAACCAGCAAATAGAATTAGAAAAAATCAATATGAGAATTCTTTGGATTTTTTCCCTCAATGCAAAGGCAGGCCCTTGCAATTAGATTCTGCAGTGTTGGGGGAGAGGGGCCGTGGTTACACAATTTTTGTGGACTCTCTGCAGGCAGGGCTTATGCTTATGAATACCCCGTATCACATGCAACAGGAACTTAGAGAATTACGTCAAATACCTGTTAATTGCACTTGCTGACTGGGAAGAAAATCTGAATTTCTCTATGAAGAAAACTCTAAAATTAAAAAGAAAAGTGCATACATCAGAAAGAACTACTTTGTGTTCAAGAAATAAAGACAAGTTAACGAGAACTGGAACATTTAATAAGCTTTTCTTCCCCAACACTGTTCTCCTACTGTTAGCTCTGATCCATCGTCATCCAGCCATCTGCTGCGGCTCTCACGGAACCACTTCACGGACTAAAGCAGGGTTGGCCCACACAGTTTCGGAACACCCAATTCAAGGCAGAACTGCGGAGTTCCTTTACTGTGTAATAAGGAGTGCCTATGTGGTTTTTTTTTTTTTTTTTTTTTTTTTTTTAGGTTTTTCGAGACAGGGTTTCTCTGTGCAGCTTTGCGCCTTTCCTGGATCTCTCTCTCTAGACCAGGCTGGCCTCGAACTCACAGAGATCCGCCTGCCTCTGCCTCCCAAGTGCTGACTATGTGTTTTAAAGGCTACACAGACATAAAAACACATTCCTACACACACATTTGCACTCCCACGCCGCAGCGGCCAGTGGATGAGGCGAGAAGCAGACAAAGCAAGCAGGAACCTGCTTCGAACCCTGCACCTAATCGGGACAGAATCGGCCCTGAGTGGACAGGAGCCAAGGCACAACTTCCAGTCACAGTAAACAGCCTCCTGATCCAAGAACAGAAAGGAAATTTTAAAAGCATTTCTTCGAGAGAATAATGAAAGTATTAAAACAATGTTAAGCCCGCAGCTGTCAATGCCCGGTGTATCCCAGAACATAAAATCATTAGTCTAAATATACACAGTGTCCACAGGAGCAAAATGAACTACAGAAAGTGCCCACTCGTTGATGTGGCTCAGCTCTCGCTGTAACTTACAGGTGGAAGGCTGGAGAATACTCACTTGCCCAGCCCGATGAAAGGGAACACCGCTGCGTAGTAGCAGACGCAGATGAGGAAGATCAGCCACAGGGGTAAGGAGAAGTCCTTTATATCAGTCAACTTAATGACTTCACCTTGGGAAAGGGAAGACGTAATAGTTCATAAAACCTGAGGGCCTTTCATCTACAGGCATCATTTTTATTCATATAATTAAACATTTGTTTTCTAGAAAATTCCACAAACAGCATCTCTGAGATAACTTACCAAGTAATAAGAAGAAAAAAACAGAAGTTACAGTTGTTCCCTTTTATGGGAACTAAAATCATTTTACTAATATACAAAACAAAATCAAGAATGTACACTCTGTCATAACGTTTAAACAGAGGAATACATACAGAAATTTAGATGAGCAGAAATGAACCTGGAAATATAAACATTCAGCATCACAGCGCTGCACCGTGTCTAAGCTACTACTGTAAAGTATCATTAAAGGTCCCCTGAGTCCCACTCTTCTTTCACGCTGATGACGTACCTGTTTTTCCTTGTTCTTTATGAAGGATTTTCTCTGCTCTCCGGTCCAAATAAGCAAGGACCAAGGCACAGATTAGTGAAAGAATGCATGTCACACCCCCTAAATAAAGGAGAGAAGTTTTAAAAAAGGCCAAGGGCTGGGAGAAGCAGCACACTGCATAAAGAGCCACAGTGCAGCCACTGAGCAAAGGCATCCAGAGTCAGGGCTAAGGACAGCCTACCACGCCACACGCACACAGGAGTACACCAAGACCCAAAACTTTTCAGAAAATGGAGATAAATTATCTCGTCCTAGATAAAAGAACTAGTTGTGGGCAGCAAAGAATGAGCCGAGGCTCCTGGCTTTCAACTTGGTGGACTCCCCACCACTCCACACCACATCTGAGCTCAAGGGCCCCAATCTTCCTCCTGCTGTCTGTGACTATGAGCTCACCTGGACACACTCCTTGGCTGACCTCACCTCACACTCAGTCCCATGGAACATACAATACACAAATAAAAGCACTGAGGGACACAAGGGCCAATCAGATCCTGTTTCAGAAGTGGCAATTAAAGTACAAAGACACGACTGTCTATTTCTAAACAGTCCGAAGAACTAGCGAACTATGGAGGCAAAATCACACGCCAGCAGCAGCACAGGAGTCTGGCACTGAGTCTAGAGTTCCTTCCTCTTTGGCACAGTATCTCCCGTGACAGGCCTCCAAAGGACCAGACGTGGGACAGAAGGACTCGCTCACCAATCATGAGTGTCACTCCCAGGGTCGTATGGCCGGCTGAACCCAGTGCAGTTTCAGTCTTGGAATACAGCCGTCCCATGAGGTTCATATTCACTGTGCTTCCCTGAGGAAGGGAAAGACAACAGGCTTCTCAACTAGGAACACTCTGGGGAGGGGTGTGTGGTTACTTATTTACTGATAGTATCTTAGTAAAGTAAGTGTAACCAGAATCCAGATTACAGATTACATGGAAGATGATCTGGATTACACTGAGGTGGGAAGACACACCTTTAATCCAGATCTTTTGAGACGGAAGATGCACCTCTAACCTGGGCCACACCTTCTACTGGAAGCCTATGTAAGGACAGGGAAGAAGGAAGCTTTTGCTCTTTGCCTGCTTGAAATCTCTCCTCGATTTCAGTCCATTCCTTCACTGACATCAGAGCCTACTTCTTTGGGATTCTAGCATATACTAATCAGCTGAGACATCCAGCCCTGTGTACTGAACAGCTATTGGATTCTTGGACTTTCCGTTCATAGACAGCCATTGTTGGATTAGCGGGACCACAGTCTGTAAGTCATTCTGATACATTTCTTTCTATATATAGAGAGATTCACTCTATAACTTCCATTACTCTAGAGAACCCTGACTCAGACACTTCGGGTGTGCTATGAGGCTTTAAACGTCCCATCATTTCCAATGTGCTCTCTCTGCCTCTCCCTTTCAGATGAAGATCTGAGCGCTCCACTATTCCAGCCAATATGCTTCTGTTCTGCCATCACCTGCTCTGACCCTCTGAAGCCTACGCCCAATTAAACACTTTCTTTTCTAAGTTGCCTTGGTCATGGTCACGATGTTGTTACAGCAATAGAAAAGGAACCATGGTAGGGGGCTAGAGGTGAGAGAACTTGCCATCCTGGGAAGCCTCCCTCTGCAATCTTGGAAAGCAGCTCTGGCTGACTAACCTGGCAACTTTCCTTCAGTTGGACCACAGAGGCAGAAACAAGGCCGCAGCGACTGTCCCGCAGCAGGCCAAAACGAGAAAGATGACTCTGAGATCAGGCTGTTGGAAGTACGGTAAGACGTGCTCGGGATACGTATGTTTAGTTGGGGCAGCCAAAAGGATTTACTAACAGCAAGTACGTGGGAGAATGGGAGGAGGTGGGACTCAGGCTGGCACCGCATGAAGACAGTTGCCCTTGAGGGGGAGGAGAAATGCCAACAAGAACTGGTCTGAGGAATGGCGGGGAGAACATGGAGAACTGGGTGTAGGGTAAGTTCAGTCCAGGGGAACTGAACAGCGTATGAGTCAGAAATGGAAGAGAAAAGCCTGGACAGAGACAGCTAAGAGGAAACACTGGACAGGCAACTGCCTGTGGAAGTGAAGAATGTAAGGGAAAGCCTAGACAGGCGACATAAACTCAGAAGCCAGGCCTTGCTAATCAAACCTGCAAAACTAGGTAAGATCTCCAGGGCTGTGAGTGCAGATCAAAGGTCACGGCCTAGAGCACTCCCACATTTACAGCCATGGGGTGGGTGGGGGGCTGAAAGAAAGTCAGGAGACACGAGACAGGGCCTGAATCTCACGAAATGACGGGAAGGGGGTGGAGTGGCATTGCAAACCTCCTACAGACTACAGACAGACACTCCTCAGAGGCAGGGCTGCCGCTGTAATGTCACCTGCCTTAGTGCTTATTGAAACAGTAAGCCTAAGAGGAACAAATCATAAAGGAAAATCAAGAGATACTCAACCCCCCCCCCCCAGCCAGAGCTAGGGTGGGGATATTAGAATACCTGAGTGTCTTATGGGATGTATTCATCAAAATCTAATGCTGGTTTCCTGGGTACCCTCCCTAAGACAAAATGTGAAACACCACGATTATTTCTAATTCTAAACCCCAGGAACACTAGCTGACAGAGTGAAGTCCAATGAGGTGTGAGCATCATGGTGAGGGGCTGAAACTCCTGTCGGAGGGCTTAGATGACCATAGGAAATAAACACCTCTGATCAAGAACTGAAGAGCCGATGATGTTTTATTTCACGGCAAACAAGACAAAAATGAACACTGAGGGAGAAACAGTGGGATCCGTCAGCCTAAGCCCTTTGTGGAAAAAGGCTTCATCTGTGTGAATTTGAGTTTCAAAAGTTTGTGGTGTCACACACCTTTATACCTAGGACTTTAAAGGCAGAGGCAAGCAGGTCTCTGTGAGTTCAAGGCCAGCCTGATCTATACACAGCAAGTTCCAGACCAGCCAGGATTCCATAGTGAGGCTGTCTTAAAAAAAAAAAAAAAGAAAAGAAAAAAGAAAAAAAAAAATTAACTGATGGAGAATAGGCTACTTCACCATAGAAGGAGCTTCCCACCACTGGTAATGTGCAAGTAGAACCTGGATGGATCGCTAGAGAGACTTTCGAGGCAGGGTGCCAAAACTGGTGAGAAATTAGGCAAGCTATTTAATTCAGACACCTTGAACTGATGAATGTTCACTTTGCTATCTTATGCTATTTATGAATGAACTACTGAAGACAAAGTGTGGTGGTCTGAATAGGTATGGCCCCCATGGACTCATGTGTTTGAATGGTTGGCCCACAGGGAGTGGCACTATTAGGAGGTGTGGCCTTTACGATCAAAAACACTGATAATGGCTTATGTTGGAGAGGCTGGAGGGCTGGAGGAGAGAGGAGAGGGGGACCTGTGGTTGGTATGTAAAACGAATAGAAAATTAAATTTCTTAATAATAAAAAAAGAAAAAAAGGAAAAAATTAAAATTAAAAAGTAAAAAGCATTACACACAAAAAGGGGTGTGGCCTTGCTGGAGTAGGTGTGGCCTTGTTGGAGGAAGTGTGTCACTGTGGGGATGGGCTTTGAGGTCTCATATGCTTAAGCCACTCCTAGTGTGGCACACAGACTTTCTGCTGCCTGCAGATCAAGTTGTAGAACTCTCAGCTCTTCCCCAGCACCATGCCTGCCTGCATGCTGCCAAGTCCATGATGATAATGGACTAAACCTCCGAAACTGTGAGCCAGCCCCAATTAAATGTTTTCCTTTATAAGAGTTGCCATGGTCATGGTGTCTCTGCACAGTAATAAAACCCTAAGACACAAAACAAATGTCATTTTAAGTCCTAGAGAAATACATAAAAACAGAGGCTAGAGAAGTGGCTCCCTGTGCAATCGGGGGACAAGAGTTCAGATCACAGCAGCCACTAACAACCCAGTGTCCCCTGCATGCCTGAGAACACAGCTCTGAGGACACAGGAGACTGGAGCTTGCTGGCTTCCAGCCTGATTGACAAAACGCCGCAAGCGAACAGGTAGAGAGTGGCAGAGGGTGACAGAAACTGACAACCAATGCCATTTTCTGACCTCTGAATGCAGAGGCATCTACACAGACCTATAAACACACAAGTAAGTGTTTTTTGAAAGTGATATATAAAAAGCAATGCCTACTTCACACCCAAGTGTGCCCAAGCATACTTCTAAGACTCTGAAGAGATAATTTGCTTCCCATTGGGCCCTGCTGGGCTGTCGCCATACTTACAATTCTGGCCATGCTGAGTTGGAGTCCAAACACCAGGTTTAATTCTTTGCCTTTAAACCAACTCACAGCATATGTATTCTGGGCAACTGCTAAGGACTCTCCACCAATCCTAAATATGGGAGAAGAAAAGTCATAGCTTTGAAAGAAATCCCAGTTAGAAATTTTGACACTCCTTTGAATGGAGGTAGGCTTGAGTACTTCAGCCAATAAGACCTAGTGAAGTGACTACTGTGTGGCCATAAGCATTCCAAAGATGGCATCTGCCATTTCAATTCAACACTCACAGCTGGAGCCATAAGTTACTTTGTACAAAGGGTAACCACCCCCATCCTACACGAAAGCAAGCCACACAAGAAGTGCCACTTGAAAATAAACAGGTTCTTCAAGGCACCCAATCCAAGCATCCAATATGCAAAACCACAAGCTTCCAAGATGATTCCAGCTTCCAGCCTTCCGTGAATCTCTGCAGCAGAGATCCCAGACATCAGGACACAGACAACCTACTCACATACTCTACCTGCCTCAAATGTAAACAAAATGCAATTATTATTTTCTATTGTGATGTGTTGGAGTGATCTGGCTAGCTAAATTAGCAATCATGACAGACACCATCTGTCCTATACAAAACTCTGATATGGGAGAGCGTCTTTCATTCACATTTTGTAATGAAACCTCACTTTTCAGGCCAATACACAAAGCTCTTGCATAGTCAACATTCTTCTACTTCTTGGGTTTCAGTGTTCTTTCCCTTGGTTCCACATATTTATCAGTACCCCTTGAAACCCATTTCAAAGCTTTGTCACCTCCTCCACATCCTAAAAATAAGTGCTGCCGTGGCTCTGTCCTAGTCCAAAGGTATTTCCCTTCTCATCTACAAATAAGTTCCCACACTTCTTTCTACACTCTCCCACTTTATCCATGGGACATTTTTAACCACATTTTTGCTCCAGAATCTCTTCCATGCTCTTGTGTATATTTATTTCCCTCAGGCATACACCACATCTATCTGCATGCCCTTGGCATTCTGTCTACTGTATTCCTCAAGGCAGGAAGCCCAAGGCTTGACTCAGAACAGGACTGTGTAATGGACACGGAAGTTACGTGGGGGCCAGCCAGGCTAGAGATACTGTGCTACTTCAAGACACCTGAACGGGGGAGCAGAAAGACATACACACCACTCTCTAAGGAAGAGTACGATGCCCGGAGTAACCAACCTAGAAATTGATGGTCCATACTTTGGGGAATGAGATTTAAATCAGTCTAAAATACAATCAAGTTTTTAAAGCCCGGGAAAAGCTTCTGGCGAAGCTTATATATTGAACTCTACAATTAAACACAATCACTCAAAACACTAAGTCTTCATTAAAACAAGTACCTAAGAAACACTTACATAGACATAAGCTACATTTCAAGGATCTGAAATAACTCCTCACTGGTGGAACTCGGTCCAAGAATGGAGTTGTGTGAGAATTCTGAGTGCTTATGAGAAAACTCCAAGAACACAAGACAAGAGTCTTGTGACTTCAGTTTCTTCAATAACACAAAAATGTTCTTGGAATGTGTTTTCATGCCAGGTGTGGCACTAGGAGTAAGTTTACTTCATTACAACTGGCTATTGCTGCTTACATGCCTCTTTGGAAAAACATGCTTTGGCCACATCTGGCTTGTCAGCATTTACAGCTTGTCCTTGTGACTGACGGCTTGAATCATGTGACTTTTCTTAAGCCTCAGAGTATAAATTGTCTAATGCTCTGAATAAAGTTGACTATTGCATGAGACTTTAGTCTGTCTCATTTATTGGCTCCATTCTCCTAGGTCCCACCCTTTTAGAGCAGTCAACACCTCACAAAAGATACTGATGTATTTCTTTTAAATCCTTAATAAAGGACTGTTAGTGTGCGTGTGTGGATAGGTTGGGATATGAAAGGCCCTGGTTTTAATCCTCAGCATCAGAAAGATCCTTAATAAACATGCTAAGATAACATGAAATTATGGTACAACTTACCCAAAGACAAACCTCCCAAACTCCATCAGCCAAAATGCATTAACTATTCCACCCAGTGCAAAAATAACCTGTAAACAGTAATAGAAAAATAAATTCAGGATATTCTAAAGGAATAGGCAATATGACAAATCCTCATTCCCAGAATAATTTTACTAGCCTGAAATAATAAATCTGAGAAATTTAAATATTAATGCTCATGCATTTATCAGGACTTATAATCACCAGAAGGCAAGCCTCCGGCATACCTGTGAGGGATCTTCTGGGTTAGGTTAACCCACGCATACATGCCCACCCGAATGTGGCGGTACCATTCTATGAGCCGAGGGGCATCAAAGGAGGAAGCACTGGACGTGCAACCTCACTTCCTGTTTCCCGACTGCAGACATTGTGTGACCAGCTGCTTCATACCCCCGCCAACATGCCTTCCCCTCAAACTGTGGGCAGGAATAAACCTTTCTCCCTCCTAAGTGGCTTCTGTCAATCACAGCAATGAGGAAAGCGGCTAAGACAATGTAATTTAAGGCTTCAAATAAATTATACCACATGGCCATTCATGGGCCTGATTAATCAAGTTGGTCATTCGTTAAATATACTTTTGCCAAGGGAATTAAATAAGACTTCAGAGTCATTGTCAAGGAATGAATAAATATTTTGACCTTTCTTACCTGTCCAATGCAAACGAAGCAGCTGAAAATAACTGTGCCCCATCTGTGTGAGACAGGGAAATGTCATTTCCTCATATGATTGCTGGTAATCACAGAATCCTCTACCCATCAGCTGTCTGGGTTTTCTTTGACCACCCTGCATTCCAAGGAAGAGGAACGCTCATCTGCAACTTTCCTAAACCAAATGCTAATGTACAAAACTCCAGTGTTCTGATGGGAGCCCCAAGGTTCAGTGATGGCACAAGTTCATTCACATCATCATCCCCTCTTAAAACCTCAGCAATCTTCCAAAAAGTTCCCAGGGTCAAACCATTGAGAAGTGCAAATTCTTTATTCAATTTCTGTTCCGAGGTTAGAAGTGGAGGCTAGTGAGATGGCTCAGCAGCTAAGAGCACTCACTGCTCTTGCAGAGGACCTAGGATCAGACAGCCTACAGTGCCTGTAACTCCAGCTCCTGGGTATGTGGTCCTGGACTGGCCTCTGGGCACCTCCACACAAGTGACATAAAATAAAATGGCATAGAAGTCAATCTTTATTTTATGAGCTTAAGATTGGTCCTAGGAAATTCTACAGTAGCTAACTGAAGTGACTATAATTCTTGGTAACTAAAAACTACTTTTAGAAGACACATCTTAGGCAAGTTAATGGAGTTCCAAGTCCAACTTAAGTCTAAGTAATAATATTTCATCAAAGCAAGTAAAATAGCAGGGTTAGAAGAGTCTTCAAAGTCAGCAGAGCCAACTGTACTTCTGAAACCGAAATCCACTCAAAAATCCTTGTAAAATGGCCACACCATCACCTGAACGTTCTCTACAGCTGGAAAACTCAATCAATGTCTCCAGACAACTTATATCACCCCTATGAACAAGCAAGTGCCTCCTCCAAATAAGTGGAATTAGTTTCCCTGAAAATTCAGCTAATTATATCCCTTGAGACCCAGCAAAATATATTTAACACTTCCATCATACTCAACTACTTAAGATTCCTAAAAGCAAGCCCCCCAGGCCGAGCGGTGATGGAGCACACATTCAATCTCAGCACACGGGAGGCAGAGCCAGGTGGATCTCTGTGAGTTTGAGGCCAGCCTGGTCTATAGAATGAGATCCAGGACAGGCACCAAAACTACAGAGAAACTGTGTCTCGGAAAAAAAACAAAAAAACAAAAAACAAAAAAAAAAGCAAACCCCCCAAATCACATCACACGTGTCTTCAACCCTCATCCCTCAGACATGGTTTGAATCCACATCAGCAGCTTCACCCCTGCCTTCTGAGGGAACTCCCAGCTGTGTTCGCTAAGTCTTCACATGAAACACAGCCAACGAGAAAGACATACAGCGCCAAAGCTTACAGCGCTATTCCTCTTCAGCATCCAATGGGCGTGGCCACAAAAAAAGGTCAATGGCCAAAGAAAGGCAGAAACAGAGGGGGAAGTCTTACATCTTATCAGAACTGAGGAAGGGATGTATCTCTACCTATGTGCACAGACTTTCCATCTCCAACTCTCATTTAATCCCTGTAGACACTTGGGAGGTAGAAATTGTTACCCCACTTAGCAGTGAGGAAGCTGAAGGACAGTTGGGACTTGACCAAGTAGCAGCAAGAGGACTCACACCTGGTTCGTCTGACCCAAATTAAGAGCATAATTAACCTCCAGAAACTGATGCCCTTACTGCATCAACAGCAATTACTAGGCCTGACCCTAACTGATCAACAAAGCCTCAAGGACAAAGTCTAAGACAAAAACAATCTTTAAAAACAGAAAACAAATCCTCATGTCCACCATCAGTCAATTCACAAGTCTATTTAGTTCTTCGAGAAAAAACTTCAACCCATTCCTACATTCTCCTAATCACCAGTTAAATTTGCCCACAAATTAATTTTTCTGCAAGCTTACCGTATTCCAAATATTCGGTCTATCAAAAAGCCACCCAAGAAACACAACACTACATTGGGCCAAGAATACCAGGCGTACAGCAGCATGAATTTCGTAGTATTCACTTGCATGTCCTATATGGGAAGAAAAGAAAACTTTTTTCCAAATGGGTTTAACAATTAAATCAAAACAAACAGTAGTTACAGCTGTATTTCCGTACAGGGTAAGTTTCTTGAGACTCTCGCAGAAGCTACAATCCTTGCACTAAGAAAAACAGTCACACATGGAAACGTCTTAATTCCACATACTAATCCGACCTCATGGATTCCAGGACCAGTCACTGGTATGGGGGCCAACTCAGTCTGTTTCTATCTCCTAGATCCTTACGTCTTCATTTCTGACTGAATTATGGACTCCTCCCACACAGAAAAGAATCATCTTTGCCTAGTCTTACGGCCCCTACCCTCTTCAATTCCTATTAGAATGCAGAGGACAACCTGTATATCTTCCCTCTGCTCAGTGGCTTAAAAAAAAAAATGTAGACAACAATGGTCTAAATGTCCAAGAAACGACAAATATCAAATGTAATTTTATAATTCAAAACCATTCTAAGAATGCTGATAGGGACAATACTCAGCAAACAGCATCCACATTTATAAAAGTAAATAACAGAGCTTATCCAAGAAGGCCAAAGCCATTCCACAAACCACTTACTCAGAAGAGTAGACATCGGGTGTGTACATTCTCAACAAAAACTAGCATTTTTAGCAATACTGTGGACAGAAATCACAATTATCTACCTAAAGAATCAAACTATCTGTCATAAATGTGTCATCCACGAGTTCTTTGGGGAAATGGATTTGATCTCCAGAAGTCTGCAGCTTGTGGGTTTGCTGATGACAGTAGAATACAAAGTAAGTGGACATTTCAGATGGGGCACCCTGAAGGTCATGGTATCTCATCATCTGTAAGTCAGTGCTCCAGAACGAAGAGCAGGACAAGAATGAATAATCAACTCACCCGCTTAACCTGAGTCTGGAGGGCAGCGGGACTGTCATAGCAAAAGTAGCTACCTAGGAAAGAAAGAGCACACATTTCACTCGGAACGAGAATGTCTACACAAAATTTTCAAGTTACAATTCCTAATTAGTAACTACTCTGGATGTTTAAGATTTACACTATTGCTGACACCATGGAAACTATTTCTAGACCACTTCCTTAGCTACCACCCAAAGGAACTTCCACAATTTAGCAATGCGCATACCCAGCAAATACCAGAAACGTAACTAAAAGGTCAACATCAACTGTTTTAAATCATTTTGTTCTCTTCATGCTTCCCATGCGTATTACTGAATTCATATATTCGTGAAATAGCTTCCTTTTCCTTACTTAAAGCCACCAACACTAAAAGTTCTATATTCTCCACAGCTGCATGTCAGCTGTCTTCATTTTTCTTGAAAGCAGAATTAATATCAGCTATTCAAACCAAACCAGTATTTCAAACAGATTCTCATCCTGCAAACAAAATACCCAGGAGCAAATGACTGAGAAAATGCGGTGCTAGAGAGGAAAGGATCCGATGAAAACATAACAATGCCTCCTGAGGAGGTCAAGACAGGAGTGGGGAGAGGGCTGTAAGCATGACCTGGAGATGCAGCTCAGAGGTAACTGACAAGCTTGAGGAGGCCCCAAGATAACAAACACTGCTTCTGTTTCTGCACTGACTCTCCAAACACACAAAGCTACCAGTTCAAAGGTGCGCTGGCGAGGTAACTAGAGAGGCAGGACTCTGGCTTCTCAAACCCAAACTTTTAGCCCAATCTACCTACCAAAAATAAGCTGTCGGCTTGAGTAGGGACAATTTCTTCAAGCGTTTTGCCCTTGTTTCTTGGTTATTGATTCTAAACCTAGAACTTTTGCTCCTGATTTAGCTTCTAATAAGAGCGTCCATGGCAAGGTTTGTTTGTTTGTTTGTTTGTTTGCTTGCTTGCTTGTTTGTTTGTTTGTTGAGACAAGATCTCACTCTGTAGCCCTGGCTACCCTCCCTAATTCTTGGAGACCCACCTGTCTCTGCCTCTCAGTACTGGGGTTAAAGAAGTACACCACCATGCCCGGCTCAGTACTTCTTTTTAAATGGTATGGGCTCTATCTTTCCAAAAACTAGTCAACAGTGTGGACGAATTGCAAAAAAACCAAAGCCCAAAGTATCCTTTATACACCAGGAGCATATATTTCTGAATCTGATCCCTGAAATGACACTTTGAAGCCAAGCCAGTATTTACGAATCGGAACAGTTGCAGCGTAAATTAAAAACTGTAACAAAGGAGGTAAAGACTTTTGTAAAAGTATCTCAAGAAATTGCTTTCGGAGGATCAGATTTCTTAAGTGAAACCAACCACCTCAAAACAAGCTGGGTCCTGCAGGACTGCTTCACACAGGAAGGAAGGGTAAGAAAAGACGCCTGCTGTCAGGATGCCAGCAAGGTGCAGTGTCCCAAAGCGGGTGTGAGATCTAATGGAACGCCAAGGAAAGCGCGCGGGCGGGGGAGGGAGGGAGGAGGATGTCCTCTGGGGAAGAGAAGAAAAAGGACTTGGTCAACAACGCTCAGAAGTCTCCTGAGCACGGTACTCCAGGGGAAATAGCCGAGATTCCTTCTCATCGGCGTCCCCAGGGAGGGACTGCTGCACTCTGGGACTTAGCAGGAACAAAAGTCGCCAGCTCAGTGCCCAGGCCTGGCTCGCGACGACTGGACAGAGCAGGTTCCAAGCCCGGGTGGCAGAGCGGATCCGGGGACACGAACCCCAGAATCCCCCGATCGTTCTCCCTAGCCCTCCCCGGCTCACCGAAGCCAAGGAGGCACATCAGCAGCAGCACCACGAGCCGGTGCGCCAGGTGGCTGGGGTCGCAGAGCGCGGGCAGAGCGCGCGGGGCGCCCCGGACCGCGCTGTCCCCCTCGGGGCGGTCCCCAAGCAGCGCCCGCACCTCCTCATCCTCCTCCTCCATCGGCCGGCAGATCCGAGCGGAGCAGGAAGCAAAAGCCGGGCTGCGGAGACAGCGCTCACGTGACCGCGTGCGCTCACGTGACTCCCGCCGGTCACGCCCCGCCGTGCTCACGTGAACAGCTGTCCACGTGGTGGCGGGGCATTTGTATGCCGCAGTCTCCGCTCTGCCAATGTGGGTGGGGTGAGGTGAGGTGGGTCGGACCCGGCCCTCTGCCGGTTAGCGTCTGATTTAAGACCAGGAGGGTGTGCCGGTGCAGAATCCCCAGTGGATGGCTCGGCTTGAGCAGCTAGGCACCCCAAAATGCAGCATCCTTCTCACAGCTGAGTCCTCCTCTCCCTCACTTCGCCAACTCTTCATGCTCCCAGACCGGATGTATCTAGCACTTATGTACTGGGAAGGGGCCAAGTTCTCCCACCTCGAGAATACGGGTGAGAGAATTTACGTGGGGAGATGGATAGAAACTGATCATGTGGAGGGGGGCTGGCCGAATGACTGCGGCGGGAATGAACGTTGAATTCCTCACAAATGTCTGACCTGGGTTTTATACGTTTATAATTACACGTTTATATTGATCTTCGAATAAGAGAAGGAAGTCCAGAGTAGAAACGTGAAACGTCCTAAATGAGGAGCCATTCACAGATGTCCAGCAGAGTATCAAGACCTCTCGGTTTGATTTGAGAAACTCGATCGGGCAGCGCAGCCTTCTCCCGCACTTTTCTAGGTGTCCCCAAGTCTTTGCCGTAGAATTTGGAGTGTAGCAGGGCTGGATGCTAAGTAGCTGTGAAACATGCAGCCGAAGTGGAAGTGAGAGGCTCCAAGCCTGACTCTGGGGAGTCCATAGGTATGGCGCAAAGAGTTCCAAAGACTGCCTAGTAAACTAGGGATGTGTTTAAACCATGGCGGACGAGATCTGGAAGAAGAGGAGGACTTTTGAGTGTCTCCCAGATTTCTAGGTTGGCCCTCAAAGAGATCCAGATAGGGGGGGATAGGGAAGTAGAGGAGGAGTGTCGGAAGAGAGATATGGTTTGGAATGTTTACATAGAACCTGCATTCTATCTCCCATTCCCTCGACTGACACCTCCAGCACAGTGGTCTCACACTCCATCTTGGGCTTTATTCCTTCACTCAACATCAGCTGTACGACAGTGAGGGGCCTAGACCATCATTTTACACTTGTTGACTTTGCCCACAGGATAGATGACTAAACGTCTTGAGCTGGCCAGTTTTACGTCAATTCTATACAAACTGAAGTCACTTGAGAGGGGGGAACCTCAATTATGAAAAAGCCTCCATCCCCCCATCACCTCTCGCCTCTCGAGGGAGAGCTAGCCCCAGGGTAATGAGAATGGAAGAGCTAGTCCTGTCCCACACCAGCTGCAGCACTCAGGAGAGTGGGCCCCACACCTCACCTGGGCAACACCATAGAGCGGACCCTGGTGCTGCGGGTGCAGGTGAGCTGGCCCCCGAGGGCAGGGCGTGAGAGCAGGATTGGCCCTGTCCCTTGCTGCCTGCTGCATCAGGTGAGCTAGGGTGCCCCAGCTAGGCAATGCTGGAGAGCTGGCCCTGGTGGTGAGGATGAGGGAGAGTTGGCGGGCTGACCAACCCAGCTACCACCCAGGCCCAGAACCAGGACTATGAGTTGACCCACCCCAACATCCACCCCATCTAATGAACTGGTCCTGCAAATCCAAAGCTCCAAGAGGAGTCCCAGGGAGGGCCCAGTATTGTTAGTGTGGCGGAAGCCAGAGGCATCAAGCCAGACCAATGACTCACTGCAACGAATACTTGCAAGTAAAGATGTATGGGCTAAAGGTTATACCATGTGAGTCACTGGGCCACACTACAGCTTCCATGACAGGATTTTTTTTGGTAGGGTTGGGGGGAGGTTGCAAGGGCAAAGGGCAGATATGAAGGGATAGGGAGATGAATAAGATCAGGATGCATGATGTGAAATCCACAAAGAATCAATAAAATGTTTTTTTTTTTTAAAAGAAAGAAAGGCGCCGGGCGGTGGTGGCGCACGCCTTTAATCCCAGCACTCGGGAGGCAGAGCCAGGCGGATCTCTGTGAGTTCGAGGCCAGTCTGGGCTACCAAGTGAGTTCCAGGAGAGGCGCAAAGCTACACAGAGAAACCCTGTCTCGAAAAACCAAAAAAAAAAAAAAATAAAAAAAAAAAAATAAAAGAAAGAAAGGAAAAATACTTTAAAATAAAAAAAGAAAAAGAAAAAACCTGCATAAGATCAGGCTGTATGTAAACCTGGAGGGCATTTTCTTAATTAGTGATTGATGTGGGAAGGTCCAGCCCATTGTGGGTGGTGCCATCCCTGGGCTTAGGGTCCTGAGTTCCATAAGAAAGCAGGCTGAGCAATAAGGAGCAAGCCAGTAAGCAGCACCCCTTCACAGCCTCTGCATCAGCTCCTGCCTCCAAGTTCCAGCCCTTTCTGAGTTCCTGTCCTGACTTCTTCAGTGATGGACTACAATGAGGAAGTGTAAGCCAGATAAACCCTTTCCTCCCCAACTTGCCTTGGTCATGGATTTTCATCACGGCAATAGAAACCCCTGACTAAGACAAACCTTATGGCTAAGTCAAACAGCAGTTTTATTTGAAAATGTTATGCATTTTAAAAATAATGTTCATACTAAAAGCTGTGCCCATTTACATGTCTATCAGTCATACAAGTAAGAGCCTGGTTCCACTATCTCTAATATAGATTGCTACTAAATTTTTAAGTCTTTGAAAATCTAAGTAGGAGGAGTTTACTCTTTGTTCCTCTTCCCAATTCCACACTGAATAAATCTCCTCTCTCTGCTTCTCACCATGACTTGTCTCTTCAACTTGGTTATTAAGGACAGGGGGGCTACCTTGTCAGGTCTCCCAGGGCCCTGGGTCAGACCCCAACAGCCCTAGTAACAGCACAAAGGATAAAGGATTCGCTTTGATGTTCTACCCTTCAAAATACCAGGTCAGGACAGAGCTACCAGACATAACAGCATCCATCCTTCCAGAACACCCTTCCAGTCCCAACAGGGGGAAAAAAAAAAGAGAGACATGAAAAACCAAGATAAGCTGTGTCCTCCAAAAATTACCCATCCCAAAGTAACAGCCCCCAATAAGAGTGAATTAGATAAAATTTAAGACAAAAAATTCAAAATAATTGTCTTAAATATATTCAAATAAATCAAAGAGGACTCAAACTCCTAAATGAATTCCAAGAGAAGACAAACAATTAAATAAAATGAGGAATTTTATACAGGATACAAAAATGGAATTCAATTAAAGACATAGAAGGGCTGGACCAGAAAACAATCTGAAACACTGTAAGTGAAGTTTTCAATAAGCTACATGGAAATTTCAGTGGGAATCCTCACCAGTACGATGGATCACAGGGGGACAGAATAGCAGAGCTGGAAGACAAGATAGCAGAATTGGAACACTCAGTTGGGGACAAAGATAAATTAATCAAATTATACAAGGAACCATAGCTGAAAATCCCCCATAGCTATGGAAAGAGATGTCCATCCAGATAAAAGGGCCCTTTAGAACACCAACTAAGTAAGACTAGAAAACAAAGTCCCTGCGTGTTTTATGAAGACACTAGACACACAGAACAAAGACAGTCTCTTGAAAGCCACAGAGGGTGTTGTAGAGATACCTTGGGGGAGGGTGTCGAGCACTCTGCCACACAAGCAGGAAACACAGGCTTGGCCTGTGCATAAAGCTCTGAGTGTGGCCTACACTCATCATGCCAGTGCTGGGGAGGTGAAGACAGGCAGAGCGGCGGAGCTCACTGGACCCCAGCCTCACTCTCTCAGTGAGTCGAAGCAATAAAAAAGCATTGTGCTGGCACAAACCTCATGGTAGAACAGAGAACCCAGAAAGGAAACCACACAGCTATAGCCACTTAAGTGTCATCACGGGCTTCTTTCTCCTCTTCCTCATCATCCTTCTGCTTCTTCAGCTTCTTTTTCTTCTAAAGGTGTCCAAAGCATGCATTGCAGGGCTGGGGATTGGCTTAGTGGTAAACTGTTTCCTTAGTACACACAAAGCCCCAGGTTCAATTCCCAGTACCTCAAAGGCAAAAAAAAAAAAAAAAAAAAAAAAAAAAAAAAAAAAAAAAAAAAAAAGGCTCTTCAACAAATAGGAAAAGTGGATATTCACATGCAGAAGAATGGAATTAGATTTATATCTTTTAAAAAAACCCTTAAGAATAAGACCGGCAGCTTTGTGACCAAAGAAAACAGGAGAACACTACAGGGTCCCCACACAGACAAATACTTCCTGTAAAGGACTGCAATGATCCAGGAAGTCACCCCTAAGAACTAGCAATGGGATCACATTAAATGAAAAGGTGGAAGACACAATCCCAAGTGAAGAGAAAGCCTACAGATTATTAAAAATAAATAAATAAATAAACCTTCCAGTCAATAAAAAGGCCTTTGAAATGAACAGACAGATTGCAAAAGAAGAAACAAAATAGTCAACAAATATTTGAAAGTGGTTTCAACTTCCTCAGCCATCATGACAAGGCAAATTAAAACTACTCTGAAATTCTCTCTCTCCCCACCATGGTGGCTAACATCAAGAAAACACTCACAACCGGTGCTATCCAGGATGTGAAGAAAGGAGAACCCTTATACACAGCTACAGGGAAGATCAATATGGAAATTTTTCAGCTAGAAACAGAACTATCGCGATCCAATTATAGCACTCCTGGCACATGTCTAAAGGGATCTAACAACACACCACAGAGACACTTGCATATTCCTGTTTACTGTTACACTATCCACAGCAGCTGCAACATGGAACAAGCCTGGATGTCTATCAACAGAGTGTATGAATGAGTAGAATGTGGTACATACACATGATGACCATCTATTCACTAGCAGAGATGAACAGAATCATGGCATTTGCAGGGAAACGTATGCTATGTCCTGAGGGAGTGTGTACTTGGGGGGCATGCCCTTGGGAAACACACCTCGCCCCAGGCCCCTTTGCTCTTCGCCCTCTCCTCTCCTCTTTTTCTATATCTTCTCTGCTCTCCTCCCCCTTCCTTCCCTCCCCCCAACTCTTG